AAGCTTTAATTTCATATACCTCCAACAGCAGATTTCCACATTATCAGCACCACATTTCATCTTTTTGGAGAAAATGTATTTAATCGATGAAAATATATGTTGTTGTCTATATATCGAAATTTTAATGAATTTTCTTCATATTTCGTAGAATTTCTAGTGCAATCGGATTGGCGTAGTTTGAGGCTATAATTTCATGCGAATACGATAAAATCGTAGAGGTTGGCATCTCTTCATACCCTGCCACATTTAGCATAGATACACACTCACACACAGCATACTGAATCTGAGCCGGCTTTATCCCTATTGCTGAGCCCCAGGCAGGGTGACAACAAGTACCATCTTTTAGTATGCTGAGAACTCACACCACCAATCTCTGGGCAGGTGCTCTGTCCCGTAGACCATAGAGGCCGTTAGTCATGTATGAGTATTCCCGTCAGATTCAAGCATACATAGATTCAAACCCAGAATCATGGGTTTCTATCCAGCTGAATGGACACAGTGATTCTGTACAATAAGAAATTACACTGGACTGCGCTGTCATACATCTAACTCCCACAAGAAAGTTTAACTTTCACGAAAAAAAATTATATCTTTCATTGATGACCAGAAAAACAAACAAACCATGAAGTCAACATAGAAAGTGAATCAGATGGACTTTCTCAGCTGCACACTTTAACAGTCATAAACTTATCAACCTCCCACTAGCACCAGGCATGTACTGGTAGATAAATATCTTGACACTATCCAGATTGCCTCACAGAGGTGTGGAATAAAAGCATATACATGTTACTAGCACTGACAATATCTTGACCAAGTGATAGACAGATGGGAGACATGACCTTGTCCCAGGGGAGGTAACTGATAACAGCAGATAGTTTCTAATGACATGCACCAGCACATTGGCATGAATTTGTCTTAAGCTGTTTCATAGGGCTGCAATGAATCCACTGTGAGGTGAATACAACACGTATCACAAATAGTGGGTAATGAATACAATAACAAGTAGGAAGTTGAAGTGTTATATACTTTTCATCAAAAGTTTAGACTCACTACTGTAAATGTTGAACTGTAGCCCCTTACTTCAGGCAACTGTTCTAAACTAAATTTGCAAAATATTTCATACTGTTTAAAGGTACTGTTTACACATGAACTGATGTATTGTAAAACAAATTCGTAACGTTGAAAAGATTATTGTCATGAGTTAAGTAAATGATGAAAATCAGTGAACATTGGCGAATTCTTAACAACACCTTACATGCATGATCCTCGTGTAATTCATCTGCATAAAGTTTGCAGTTGGTTCGAATTCCCCCAAGTTAGTGGAGAAATCAATCTTCGATGTAACCATATATATATATATAACATACATGTATATAGTGAGTGTTTTTTAAGTGAGTCTTAACTTTTGAAGAGAAGTATATATTCAGTGAAAAAACAAACAAATAAATTCTTTGACATGTTTTAACAGTGTTAATTTATCATGACAATGGCCTGTTACCACATGACTGTCAAATTAGATAAGAAAAGTGCGGACTATTACCTTGCCTGGCATGAATATATTCTATTTTGCATATCCTGCTTTGATGAATAGAGCCCAAATTCAAGTATAAACACTCCTTTAAAAAAATCATGAATATTCAATTCAAGTGATAATACATTAACATTCATAAAAGTTTGTGTTTCAATTTACGGAATACGCGAGTGAATCACAACAGCCCTACTATTCAGATACTGTTTCTGATACGGGTTGAAACATGTATCTCTATGGTAACATGTTGATTGGAAGGAGCTGGTCATGTATCATTGCAATAATCAATAATCAAATGATCCTTTGCTAACTAACTAACCAGCCTCAAAATAATATTGAAATATATATTTGTTTATAAATATAATGTTTATTGAAAGAAGTAGAACTGTCATTTTTACATTACAAGTACAACCCCAACAAACGCTCCCTCACCTGCCCCGCCACACATGTAACAACTCCTCCCTTGCTGTCATTTTCTCATGACCTCATACTCCGCTATTTTCTTTCTCTCTCTTTCTCTCTCACACATACAAAGTAACAAACACAACATGCTGACTAGCAACTGTATGTATCTGATAATACTTTAGATTTTATCAAATATGAAGGTTTGCACCTTATTCAAATTCCTTTGTTGTGATTATCCTGTTGATCCTAAATCAATCATCACCTCACATCAGGCACCCTATATGAAATATATTTCCAAGAAATATTGAGACATGACTAAACACTCAAATATATAAATGTTTGATCAGAGACCATATAATAATAATCTATTATATGGTCTCTGGTTTGATACACTTAAAAACAGGCTCTGCATACCATAAGATTTATGAAAGTTTTTTGTAAGTTTTGAGGAATTTACTACCATTTAAAAAACTCCCAATTAAATCCTATAGCTGCAATTAATGTGTTGAGAGCTACTTGACACCCCATTCTACCCAGTGTATATACGAGATATCTCCTGGAGGGCCTAAGGCTGGTTCATGACTGGACCAATCAGCCAGCACTTCAGATAAGGGTGAGACTCTGTGGGAGTTATAAGTGACAGTTTCCATGGATGTATTTCAGGACTTATCAGTATAAGAACCTTCCAATTGCTAAGGAAAATAAGCAGCTGATAACAAGTTCCATGTAATCTGTGTGGACGTCAAACAGTTTACCACTCAGGATGTGGAATGACTCTCCCATATTTTGTTCTTTGGCACCAAAGAGTTCCGATTCTGTCTGATTCTGTCTATCTGGGCATCTGTAGAAATTCTTGGTGGGGGAGTTTGGTTTTCACAAGAATAAATCAAAAGAATTTCTTTTCTTGATATCTGACTCTCATCACGACTGGATACAACAATCTGGATACTTTTTCTTCACTGACTTGATTAAACTCTATTTCCGTAAACACGCAATATAAGAACATTTTGACCCATGTCTGATCTTGAAAGGGTGAAATAGCTGTCACAGTATCATTTTGGCTGGAAAACATGGCTCCCTATAATATTCTTATCTACTGAGTGTTTACACAGATAGTTTTCTTTGGATATTCAATATATTTCAACTCCCTTAATTAACATTTGGCAAGGTGTAAAATCTTTTTCATGCATTTATCACTGCAAAAACTGGGCAACAGAGTTCATTTATGTGTAATGTATGTATTTATTCTGTAAATAAAGATCTGTAACAAAAATACAGGTAAGCAGTTTGAAACTGATACATTGTGTCATTTATATATTATTGGTTTTGTACATAAACAGTTCAAAGTTAACTTGGTACTTGTGATTTATTTGAATGTGGCAACTAATATTCTGAAAATAACTTGAGCGAGTGAGTGTGTGAGTGTTGGTTTTACCCAACTTTTAGCAATATTCCAGCAATATAATGGTGGGGGGACAACAGAAATGCCTTTCACACATTGTACCCATGTGGGGAATCGAACCCAGGACTTCAGCGTGACAAGCGAATGCTTTAAAGACTAGGCTACCCCACCCTCCCGAAAATAACATGAACGCTTCATATACTGGTAGAAACGAATAAGGGAACATATAAAGCACAAGTTTTCCTGTGTTATTTTCCAGGTTCTTTGCATGCCTTGAATTGCCTGGTGGGTGAAATCAGGAAATATATGGGAACAATTGTACTTTCAAGTGTTCCCTTATTTGTTTTTATCAGTATATATGCAGATGATTTAATACCCTATATACTTCAGTATGGATTTGTTGACATGCTATTTCCGGTGTTATATGCTCAAAAAGTAATGTCTTTGCATTGGGAAAAATAATCAAATTGTCGGCATATATTATGTGCACATTGTTTACAAATTCTTAACAAATATTTTCTACAAAAGTGTGCACTTTGCACATGGAAATATCCTGTTCTACCAGTAGCACGAATCGTGAGTAAATATCAAGGTCACTACAGCCTTCAGCAGTATGAGTTATTTGTGTTAGTTTGGGGTGTGTTGGATCTTATGAGTTGAATTAAACCACGACACCAAATGACGAACAAATGATTACATGTTACATCTTTCTGGTGTCATTATTATTGTTTCATATGGAAGCTCAAGTAGAAATGTTTTCAGTGTTACATCATGTCAAATATTTGGAACTGGCTGGCCAGTTGACTTGTGCTATTGTTTAGAAGATGCCCATGGCCACAGGTTTATGAGACAGTAGGATTCTTATATGAGCATGGGGTGGTGGGGTAGTCCAGTGGTTAAAGCGTTTGCTCGTCATGACGAAGACCCCGGGTTAGATTCTCTCCATTTCTGTAGAGAAACTCATTTCTGATGTTCCTGCTGAGATATTGCTGGAATATTGCCAAAAGTGGCATAAAGCTAATTAGCTCACTCACTCATTATATGAGTACAGTAATTATGGTCTTACATCAAGTGAGACAACAATATGAACATACCATTATGACAATAGTCACGGACAGAATGTAAATATTCTACCAATTTAATTTTTTTTACATATATGGTATTTTAACAAGAATATTACTTAAGTATGAGCCTCCAAAGTATGGTTTTATGCTGCTTTTAGCAACATTCCAGCAATATTGTGGAGAGGAACACCAGAAAGGAGCTTCCATCGAAATGTACTGAATACATCTAAGAAGCATTATGATAATGTTGACAAGACATCAGTCTGACTGCACACTGTTCTGCACCAAGGAGCACACGGTAGACAAGTCTATCAATATTTCAGGGCATCAGTGTTGATTCAGCATCAGGGACGATACACTGCATATTTACTAAACTTGGAGAGAGTGTCTTTGTATTGATTGTTTAAATGTCAAGTTCAACAACAACATCTCTGACAAAGCTTTACGGCTGGGACAAGCTGATTGAGCCTTCTGTAGCTGATGCCTGCACTGTAAGCAGACACAGTACCAAATAAATACTGTTGAAACAGGTTCACTCACTCATTCACTCACCCAATTACAGTCACTCAAGCTGGTTGATAGACAAGTAGAGCAGACTTACCACAGAACCTTTTCACGTGCGAACTTCCACTCGGGTAGTTTGCCCACCCTCTTCACTACCAGTTTGAGGCGGTCGGTGACAGTCAACACCCTCACTGCACTGCTGCAAGCCGCGTTCTCAAGGACTGATGTTGTTTGCCTCAAGAATCTGATCACCAACTTCTAAACCAGAGGCAGCTGAAAAGTAAAACAATTTACTTAATATTCATGATTTATATTACACTGCCTATCTCCTAATTATGTCCTAAAAGAATAGCATATCAGAAATGTATAGTGCAGGTCAACCTGAAGAAGGTATATTATACACTAAAGTAAACCAGTGTCTGAAAGTGTTCAAAGTGAGTGAGTGAGTTCAGAGTGAGTGAGTGAGTGAGCTCAGAGTGATTGAGTGAGTTCAGATTGAGTGAATGAGTTCAGAATGAGTTCCGAGTGAGTGAATGAGTTCAGAATGAGTTCGAGTGAGTGAATGAGTTCAGAATGAGTTGAGTGAGTGAGTGAATGAGTTCAGAATGAGTTCGAGTGAGAATGAGTGAATGAGTTCTGAATGAGTGAATGAGAATGAGTTCGAGTGAGTGAATGAGTTCAGAATGAGTTCAGAGTGAGTGAATGAGTTCAGAATGAGTTCCGAGTGAGTGAATGAGTTCAGAATGAGTTCCGAGTGAGTGAATGAGTTCAGAATGAGTTCAGAGTGAGTGAATGAGTTCAGAATGAGTTCCGAGTGAGTGAATGAGTTCAGAATGAGTTCAGAGTGAGTGAATGAGTTCAGAATGAGTTCTCCGAGTGAGTTCAGAGTGAGTGAATGAGTTCAGAATGAGTTGAGTTCAGAAGAGTGAGTTCAGAGTGAGTGAATGAGTTCAGAATGAGTTCCGAGTGAGTGAATGAGTTCAGAATGAGTTCAGAGTGAGTGAATGAGTTCAGAATGAGTTCAGAGTGAGTGAATGAGTTCAGAATGAGTTCAGAGTGAGTGAATGAGTTCAGAATGAGCTCAGTGAGTTCGAGTGAGTGAATGAGTTCAGAATGAGTTCCGAGTGAGTGAATGAGTTTAGAATGAGTTCAGAGTGAGTGAATGAGTTCAGAATGAGCTCCGAGTGAGTTCCGAGTGAGTGAATGAGTTCAGAATGAGTTCCGAGTGAGTGAATGAGTTCAGAGTGAGTTCTGAGTTCCGAGTGAGTTCAGAGTGAGTGAATGACTTCAGAATGAGTTCCGAGTGATCTCCGAGTGAGTGAGTGAGTTCCGAGTGAGTGAATGAGTTCTAAATGAGTTCCGAGTTCCGAGTGAATTCAGAGTGAGTGAATGACTTCAGAGTGAATGAGTAAGTGAGTGACATTGAGAGTAGTACTGACAATGAGTTAATGGTTTCTTGTGCCAGCCTTGCTGTCAACGTACATGACATGCACCATATGTAGAGCTGAGTACCCAGGCAGCTCCTTATGACTTGCTGGTTTGAATCAAGATCACACACTGAGCTGTCATAAATATTGCAGCATGAAACTTGTCTATCTCGACAATGATTGGAAAATCAAATTCCAAAGGTCAACAAATCATGTTCTCAACACAATTATTCCAAAGGCACAGTCTCCAGATGAAAAACGTGTTAACTGTATCCCAGAGTTCCTGTCATCAACCCCGAACACCATTGGACGCATGTAGCTGACCAACATATACAACCCGAAGTTGTTTAATCCACAACAGTGCTGAACCTGCTTGCGTGAACGACAACGTCCTGGATTGAAGACAGATCTCTGATGCATGTGATCATAAACTATTAATAAGAAGAGAATGCATTCCAACAACTACCTTTACTACCAGTGAATACCTGAGCTGCGATCCGATACAGTAATGACAGTCCCTCTCATGTAATGGTTTTCAGTTGAACACACTTCAGAACCTGTCCCATATGTTATTATTGAAAATAATCTAGTACAATTATAAGTTATCTGTCTCCTACTTGATCCACCAGGCGTGACAATGACACAGACATAGATAGGTGGTTAATGATACGTGCCAGATATTCTCAAAGCTATTCTACAGTCATTAAAGCACAGGATCATATGCTGTTATAATTTCTATACATGTTGAGCCTGTGAGAAGTTTTTCACCAGTAAGGTAATTGTTATGGAGACTTTTTGTGACTGGATTTGATCGACTCAAGCCTCATTCACTGTTCTGCACCAGTGACTGGAGGTAGAATCTCCCTAAGCTTAGGCCACATTTAGGGGCCTTCCATATCGGATAGGTTATCAGGGCATCTGGCTCCAAGTATACTCCCCCCAACAACTGCTCAAGGATTACTGCCCCCTAATTACATACTATTCAAAAGAAGGACCACCCAATTCAGTCATTTGCTCTATATAGCAGATTAACTACAGTGATTTCCAAGAACCAAGTGACCTTTTACTTTTCTGGAATAGAAACTAGGGAGCTTCTTACAATTACAACGGATACACTGGACATCATTAGGGTGTGTGTGTGCATGCGTGCGTGCATGCATACGTGTGCATGTGTTTAGATGGGGGGGGGGGAGATGGTAGTGTGTGTGTGTCCTACCTGTGTCTTTTAAAAATCTTTTACCTAAATCATTATTATTAAACCTAGTTTGATTCATAAAAGAATTACTTGCTAAATCTAGGATTGTATTGACTTAAGTCGGTTCATCTTCGCTACACTTTTCAAACAAGCTGTTCACCACCACACCTTTTCAACAAGATGCATCTGCACTGCTGGATATATATTGATATATATCTCTCTTTGGTTTTTTGACATGCTTACTGTATTGTTTCACTACAAGATATCCAAATATTTGTTGTACTATTCTGGTATTTCTTTCTTTAGTCAGTTATTGACAGTCTGTTATATGTTTACCCATCCACTGATCCTTGTAAAATGTTATAGTGTAAACGTGACATGAACATTTGGTTGAAACAGCAAATCCTTCAGCCAAGGAAAACGTATTAGTATATCACATTATTAGGTTTTACATTTTCAGCCAAAACCTTGAAATCATGTTAGCACAATAACAAAAAAAAAAGAACATCCACAATTTGTGTTGAAAAGTTTGACATTGATTTGACAAACAATAAAACACATGTGTTATTGATCACTGATTGGGTCAATACGACCTGCAGCATACTTCTACACACTGGACTTATCACTGAATACCTAACTCGAGCTACATCATCCCCAGACCAGAGGAGTGGTCACTGGACTTATCACTGAATACCTAACTCGAGCTACATCATCCCCAGACTAGAGGAGTGGTCAAGCAAAGTGGCCGATGCAGAAGGGTATAACATTCCTGACACCTCAGGTTACAATAGACTAAATACTGAGAGAGAGAATTAATCAGGTGTTAACAAATGGAGATATATTCAATGCATTGATTATTTATGCAAATCTTCACAATGCTGCAGTGTTGATGATGTTTGGGTTTATTTTGGATGATGCTGTTTCACAATTTTAACTTTCATCTCATCTTGTACCAAAAGCATATTCCATTGATATAGTTTGCCCCTGTTAAATACCCTTGCATTAAACATTATTTGTATGATTTATGGTTAATAAATCTCACGAATTTGTAAAAACAAATTCATAATGATAGAAGACTTTTAAGGACTCACTTGCACAAAGTGATATTAAACTACAACTATTGCAAATTCTTTCCCTGATGTTTGCATATCTTATAAATTTATACCCAACTTGATATCAATAACAACTCAACCCTGAGTTTCATGATCTCACAGAAGTGGTTAATTTTGTCTGTCAGAGCCTTCCTCCCTCAATGATTGAGATTCTTTTGCTCCTAAAACCTAAAACAGTATATCTATTTCAATATCATTGACCCGTGTGCTGTTTGTTAGGGAAATCATGAGTATTCTCTGTTTTGAATGACCAAGGAATACATGATGAAGACACAATGCTCAAACTTCTAAAGATTATTAAAAGCAAACATTACATCATGCTTGACATTATTCTGTTTACAAACAACTACCTTTACTACCTCTTAACCAGTGTTTAAAACTCCCAAAATTCCAAGCCAGACAGCCGGACTGGTAACTTTATAAAATTACAAACTTGCCTGTCTGGTTTTCAACATTTAAAAACTGTGACTGCCATATACATGTATTTCCAACTCGTGCAAGCTCCATTCACTGTTTGTAGGCATCGCAATGAACTACATAGCACTAACAGGCAATGCACCGAGTTTAGGTAAACTGAAAGTACATGATTGTGATTGGTTATCATAACATGAACTGTCCAATTGTAACTAGTTTAACATAATTATCATAATACCTTAAACACCTCAAACTGACGACAAGAGAACCTGTCTGATATTATGAAACATTTACTCTTAGGAGTAAAAATATCTACCAGACCACCGGACAGGCTACTTTTGAAATTTGATTGTCCGAGATGAAAACAGACCATTCCGGACGGTCGGGCAGGCGGGAATTTTAAACGCTGTCTTAACATAAGTTAAGAAAAAAGTCAGAAACAGTCTAGCCGTATTCATATCTGTCATGGTAGGTTTGGAAATGTATGAATTATTAACAAGTTTGTTTAATGAAAGATAAATAAATTTATAACAATGACTTTCCATAATCAAACAAGGAGAATAAAGGGAGACAATCCATTCAACTTTCAGTCTAGTATGCATTTGAGCTATGAGGGAGACAAACTATTCATGAATAATTTTCACAAAATATTAATCAACATAAAGGTGTCCCGCCTTCTGCAAATATTCTTCAAAATATAATAAAGCCAGAAAAATTATGAATCATTTTGTGTAATCTGGTCAATATGTACAGCAAACAATCCATGTATCACCAAGAGCTTCACACCCAAGTCTATTCTTAGCAAAATTATTTGTGTTCAGTAGTACAATAGCATCATGATGCGGACATGAACAACAATAGTTGCAATACTACAATCAACAAATATTCATATCAGCCACATTCCAAGCGAAAATACAGAAACTGTCAGCCCTGATCAATAAATACACAATCGTGGCGTTGTGATCAGGCGTGCCGCCTTTTTCCCACCTGTTGCTTTATGGATTGGTCACAACAGCTGCAGGTAGAGACAAAGACTTGATAATGCAGCCCTGCATCTATACACATTACTGACTCCATACTTGGTAATGCTGGAAATCAATTAGCATTTTTAAACAGGGTGTTAACGTGAAAGTCAATAACACTGTACATTTTGGCTGTACGTGTAGATGTTAATGGCTACGAACCGAATTCTTACAGACACAATAAAATATATAAATAAATAATGAAAAAGGAATGTTTCTTGATATGCTGATATTATTACTGCATGTAAACTTTGAAGTTTAATTGCATGATAGGAATTAATTTCACTTCTTAAAATGTTTATGTTTGTGAGGACCAAAGGGATAATGTTTTATTGCTAGACATACTTTAAAAAAAATTCTATTAAATTTGATGGCAATTGAAGAAAATCAATTATCAACTGCTATTCAGGAAGTCTATGGTAAAAATGTGTTCTGGAAGAGCTAGAAGCATTGATATAGCCATAGCTAGAGTGTATATATAACACAGATGTGATATAATCACTGAATACCATGTGTAGAACATGGAGATAAATATTACCACTTTATCGTGTATTGTGCATGAATTGTGAGCAGTTTAAATTAAAGATTTAGGTTGCATTCAAGATTTTTGCGCTTATAAAGTGATGTGCATGAAGATGCATTTGAGAGTGCATGTGTCTGCTCAATGGAATGGTAAACGAAAGTACACTTGAATATTGGACCTGAATATCATTTAAAAACATTATCAAAATTTTACAAATCTGAAAAAAGTCACAAAAATCAGCTGACTTAAGGTACACAACACAGCTATGACCATTTCTAGTTTGTTGCATCATCGCATTTTTAACTTCCATCAAACATAGTTGTCATATCACATCACCTTTCTTTTCAATATTTGCTTTTATAGTTGCTTTCTTTCTTTTATGCTGGCCCAATGATTTCTAATGCAACAGTTTAACATATATTTTACTAAGACACAGATATTACCGACTCTGAGCCAATCAGTCATCGTACTGGGGTGGTGGGGTAGCCTAGTGGTTAAATTGTTCACTAGTCATGCCGAAGGCCTGGGTTTGATTACCCATATGGGTACAATGTGAAGCCTATTTCTGGTGTGTCCTCCCCCCTCCCGCCATAATATTGCTGGAATATTGCTAAAAGCGGTGTAAAACCATACCCACTCACTCACTCAAATCCTAATATCCTCTGTCACATAAAGACTAAAGTCACAGAACTTCTACAGTATTAGAACAAGGCACGACACAGCTGAAGGTTTCTATTCGCTATGATTAGTGTTCTTCTGAAAAAAACACACCCAATAAAACCCAGTAATGATACATCTGCACATTAAATAGTGCACTTCAAAACTGATATGAAAGTTATATTTCCCTGATCTAGCATCACATGATATGAATTTATTTTTAGATATTTATGCTTCAGCTGAAACCATGAAATGTAGTTTGGATGTCTTTTTCAGAAGATTTTTATCTGCAGACAAGTTTCATCACTATGTCTACAAAAAATATTTCAACAGTTTAAACAGTTTTAACACTTTAGCCTACTGGGGTCTCCCGCTTCCATGAATGTTATCGACTATATGTGTTTATATCCGTAAACTGATAACTTCAAACATTGCATAACCTTGGCAGGCACAGGACACATCACAGCTCCCCTCACACCTGAGGCCTCTCATCTGAGGTGTATAAACACTCCATCACTTGCCTGTCACTATACCATATCTGTACTGATTTTCCTTACATTAAACACTGTCAGGATCATAGTCACTCACTACAGGTAATGAGTGTGCTTCACTTTCACCTATATTCCAGGTTCAAATCCCAGATTCAACTATGTCCACACTTATAATACCACTGCTCATTGGCACCTGTGAAGGTCTGGGTTAGAATATTGATCTTCAGTAACCCAAGAGGCGACTAACGGGATCGGGTGGTCAGGCTCGCTGACTTGGTTGACACATGTCATCTGTTCCCAAATGCGCAGATTGATGCTCATGCTGTTGATCACTGGATTGTCTGGTCCAGACTCCATTATTTACTGGCCGCAGCCATATAGCTGGAATATTGCTGAGTGCAGAGTAAAACTAAACTCACTTGCTGCTCATTGGTTATTAAATAGGTGTTAAATTTCTGATGTCAGCATCATAAGACTATGAGCTAACTGAAATACTGTTCAAAGTGTCATTAAACCAAACTCTATCCCAATATCTCAGTACTTCCAAGACAATGATGTGAGATAAGTTCAACTGTTTTCCTACACACTTGCTTGAGGCTTCATGAAAGTTCAAATCGTGATATCCTTGTCACCCAAGCAAGTCTTAGTCATAGCAATTCTACATGCCGTGGGTGAGTGCTAGAATAAGGTGTCACAGCTTTGAACAGTTCTATTCATTAGGTTGTGTGCTCTACTGAAAAGCCACACAATATAGACCCAGCGATGACATAAAGGCTACTGTAATTTTACACAAACACAAAAAGGGCACTTCAAAACAACTTAAAACTGATATTTCCCACATGTACCCCAACTCTTTTTCATATATGAATGACTTGGCGAGAATAGACAACAAGAACCGATGCATGATTTCCGGGTTAGAACAGGTTCCCAACAACCTTTGCTTGTTGTATGATCTGACCTAATGGTTCTGGTATGCCAGGGTCACTGTCCTAGATGATAGCATGTCACATATCAGATGGTATGAGACACTGCTATAAAGATCAAACACTGGCTTGTCTGGTCCAGATTTCACAAATTGCTGCCATATAGCTGGAATGTGTCTGAGAGAAGCGTTAAACAACAAATACATGTAACAATGGAGGGACGCAACACAGTTACACTGTGTATGTTTGTAAACATTAACATCGTTATTACCTGGTGGACAAGGGATGTGTTGACACAAACTGTGCATCAGTTTATCAGGAAACAGGTTCAGTTACTGGTACGACTGTAATTAGTATTACAGAAAAGTTGTCTTCAGTCAACCCAGAACTCTGTTCATCCAGTCAACTCTCAAGTTAGGACACCAGTTACCACATATTCGAAGTGTCTCCTACATTCAACTCACCTGCTGTGGACCCGTCGTCGACCTCGCTAACGAAGATCCCAAGTCCGTGTTCAGAGCCCCCTCGTATGCTGAAGCCAAGGTTCTCGTCTCTATGGGGTATGACAATTACACGCAGGTCCGACCGGCCATTGGGAATGCTTGACCTCACAGCTACAAATGAGAACACTTAGTTACACAAGGCACCATGCTCCGACCCATACGGCTCTACCACGACAATATCACACCCATTTGCTGCCATAAATGCGCTTTGTCCAACACAAAAACATGCTTTGAATGCATTGACAGGCATTGAAGAGCAGGTAAAAGGTAGATCTCTCGGGCAGTCTATTGCAAATCTCCCCTCATTGAGCAGCTATAGCTCTGGGAGTTTGACCATGCTTGAAATATAAAGCATGACATTCTACATCTTGTATCACTCATTTACCAATATACTAGTCTGTCTCACAGTCCCTGAACCACATTATGTCCCCTACTGCCTAGCCCTTCCTTCAATGCTAAAGGGGGCGGTGGGGTAGCCTAGTGGTTAAAGCGTTGACTCGTCACGCCTAAGACCCGGGTTCGATTCCCCACATGGGCACAATGTGTTAAGCCCATTTCTGGTGTTCCCTGCCGTGATATTGCTGGAATATTGCTAAAAGCGGCGTAAAACCAAACTCAGTCAGTCAGTCAGTCAATGCTAAAGCCCTAAATGAAGCAAGTCTAAATTTCCTCAGGTGCAGGATGAATCTTCCTTCTCATTTGGGCTCTTTTCAATATAAAGGGATTATTTGTTACAATCAAAATTATATATTTTCAGAGACTAAACGTCACTCTACCAATATACCAATATAAGACACTGTGTTTGGGGATAAAATATTTGTCGTCTGTACACCAAATGAAAAAGCTTCATTCTTTTGTCACCATTGCACATGAAGCAATCAAGAGTTGATATTTTATTCATCCATACACCTATTTCTATTTAAAGGAGTGGCTGTACCCTCAAAGGGGGTTAAAGTATTGTAAAATTATTGTCCTCCTGAGAGGGTACGTAAGTCCCAAAACATACAAAGGAAATTTCAACTTACCAGATTCTTTAAACGTAGTACTTTTGTGATTTTAAATTATGGCTAAATTTGACTGCAATCACCAGCGGCTGAAGGGATGATGTAAATCCAGCTAGGGTCCATGCAAAAGTACTGTAAGTCCCCGTGGTCCCTAGTATGGTGATCCACCTTCAGTTGTTGGCGATCAATAACCGATTTTTACATTGTATTGTCCCAAAATAGTTTTCTACTTTTAAAGATATATGCTACCTAGTTGTACTGAACTCACGCTTTTTGTGATAATCACGGCGGTTACCTAGTTATAACTCATATTGTGATAATCTAGTAATTTTACTGTCCTTCGTTGACAGGGTTTTATATATTATATGTATGTATTGTGAATTTAGAACTAGGTTTAGTCACGGTATGGCTGGAATATTGCCGATGTGACATTAAATCTTAACTCATTCACTCACTTTTTAAAGGCCTTATAAGGACAGTTCACAATGATCAATTCTTGTCATATTTTTACGGTGCATGCTCAGTAGACTGAGATAAGTTGAACAAATTATGGTAGAAAAAAAAAAATATTAATGAAATGGCAAAACATTTTCGACTGCTTACCACATGAAATAATCCATTATCTTGAACATTTCAAAACATTATTTTATAATTGCAGAAATATATCACATCATACTTCATGACTCTTCTGATTATTTCATCAAAGGAATGAAAAACAACAACAGGAATATTAAAGTGTCAACTGTGTAGTTGTGGACATTTAAAGTGCAACCATTGAACTACATGTATTTCTGATCATATACGTATTGGGGTGTTACAATTCAATGGCATATTTAGTGAATTGAACCATATCCTTTCATGACTTCAATTCATTATTAGCGATCATTAGAATCAAATATTCATGAATTGTTCAGAAAGGAGTGTTTTTTACATGAATTTTTGTGATATATATCTAAGTGAGATATGCAAAATGGAATATATCCAAGCCATGCTGAATAATAGTCAACACTCTTACATATATTCAGTGTGACAGTAATGTGGCCATTGGTCATTGCCGTCATAAAATTATACTTTCATCATGGTCAAAGTAAGTAAAGAATATATTTTGTTATTATTTCACAGAATATTATGAATAACACATTAACACTTTAACTGCTGACTTAGTAATGTATTCATTACTCAATATTCGTATTTGTTACCAACTGATCGTGATACGCATCATATTCAACTCACAGTGTATTCGCTGCAGCCCTAATACTACTTGTATATGAATAGCTTTGAAAATAAGTAACATGTTGACAATGAACAAATACAGATGGGTACAGCTGGTCCACCCTTGTGTGATATAACGTATTCCCCTGTATCTGTGACATCACAATGAGAAGTAAATACCTGTGTATAAAGACTTACTGTTTACCCAGTATAATGAAACAAGTTGTCTCTCATGATCTCAAACAAAAGTATTTGTCAGTCCTGGTATGCTTGGCTGTCTACCAAATAATATTTTTTACTTTTTACTCAATAGTACCACACTTTGAAAAGAATGCAAACAATGTCTCTTTGTAAACTAATTACCTTGGTTGGGGACTAGACTTAAAAATTAATTTACTCCCTAAACTTCTAAGGCTGCCCACCCACCTGCCGAGTCTTTTCAGATAATCTAAAGATTTGGCGTAGAGTGGTATTCATCTATTGACTTTCACACACAGTAGAATTCAACAAATTTTCCCAGATTCACATCTGCATTTTCAAAAATAAACCGATTCCTCTGTACATAAATTCTGCATGTGTTGACAGTAGGGTCGCGCTAGACAGCCCTGAACCTAACTCTGAACATTTGCAATATGTAATGTCATACTTTTGAAGAGAGATACTTGAAATTTTATAAACTTGCATTTACAAGAACACATATCTTATCTTGATAAAAGTGGATAAAATTTCAAAATCACATATGACTTCAAAATACTTAGATAACAAGTACATTTCTGATTCCATAAACTACATGAAAAACACGTGTTTGACATGTCTCCTTCTCGTCTATCAGTTTGTTTGCCACATTTAGTTTTTTAACGTCACAATTCAAAGACGAAAACAACCTTGACCTTGACCCTATCAAGTGCTGAATCAGAGGAGAAAGCTGCGACATGCTTCAATTTATTTATATCAGGTACACTGCATGCTCTGTTAACAACCCTTTTGCATAACCACAAATGTTTCAGATTTTTAATTTACTTATCCAGCTTTTATCAACTAAACTTGAAATAGGTTTACACTCAAGATATATCAGTACATGACATCCGTGTCAAAAGATAAATTTTGAAAAGAAATTTAAGATATGCTTGAAAATTGAAGTAGTGTTGCTGCAGGAAAACACAGAAAATGTTTGTGGTTTGAAAGACCTTTTCATTGTCCTTGGGCACAACAGTCTGGAAGCGCATTGATCACATTAGTTTCATCAATTGTATTAATAATTGGTGAAGGTGGACAAGAGTTGCCTTGATGCCTTAGGGGACATAACCCACTCAGAGTTGCTTCCCCTAGTTGCACTGATCAAGGTTTGAATCCAGCTCTCCATGTTCTTGCTGATTATTAGCATATATCTGTGTCAAGCGTAAACACCTTTGATCTGAGTTGATTGCATTCCTCCTACACTGACGTCATGTGATGTAATTGTAACAGTCAAGAAATTTTTTAGTTCAATGATAAGATTTAAACCATGGACCTTGAGATCTGAGTCTGGATCTGTTGTCCACATGACAATAATGATTCACCCTGCCACGTCTGTTGTCATATGTGGGACACCACACCTTGGTACATACTAATGGTTACCAGATGGTATGTCCTAGGCAGTACAGTGGCAGAACAGTTGAGCACAAACACCATGCACATTTAATGTGAACATGCACAGCCCTACGTCTGAAACCAATGTAGTGGCCACAGAATCTCAGAATCCCATGATGTGATTTGAACGACAGATTGTCTGATCAAATGGCATGTCCACATGACCAAAGAGGTAAAGATTTTTTGTCTTGGCCAAAAGTCATGATATAATAATCAAGAGGCATTTACCCTTCACTCTGAAAACGTTTGTGTAATGGCGCACTTAGCAATATTCCAGCTGTGTGACAGAACTCTAAATAAATAAGTTCTACCTGTTCCAAAAGACAACAGTCAATTTGTCAGCAAGAATTTAACGGTCTTCAGAATCAACAAACTTACCATATAGGAACTATATTCTTGTATGTGTCCAACTGTTAATCACTTAACTCCCCTGTTAATACCACTGGCTCTGGGTGGGAGCCTCCTCTGTGGTGTGTAAAACGTCCTGGCGGTCTTCATGAGGACACAAAAGAGGGTAAGAGCCCGTGGCCCGGGAAGTGATTCGAATGAGTGAATCACAATACAATAACAAGCGTGGGTGCCCAGTATGACTGAATTTCGGTGGACAAGGTGTACAGTTGTTATTAGGACTGATACAATTATGATTATTGCAGTGTTCAAGATACTTAGGCAGTGGGGGTGTTCTCACAAAACATTTGGTGATTATTGTAGGGTGGCCATGGACTAGGGTATTGGGGTTGGTGGGTTCTCAGTAGGACCTAGTAGAGGTGTAGCGATACGGAAATGTCACGATATGATACATATCGCGATATCTTGGAACGATACTATTCGATTGATGCATATCACGATATGCCATCTTTAGTTATTTTCTTTAAAAAAGTATATTTTGATAGCAAGTAACAGTGTAAATTTTTACATAACCGTCAATTTCTAGTGAACATTAACAATTTTAAGGTCAACGATTCATAAATGATACGAAGAAAAATATTGATATATTTATCGTCAGATAATCGTCAGATCACTATTATCGATACTACAATATATCGTCACAGCTCTAGGACCTAGTCACCTGGATCCATGGTTAGTCACATGATATATTTTGTTCAAAATGTAAACAATAAAACTCCATGGTTACGATTCCAGTCAGCGATGTGGCATGTCTTTCTGACTATGCACACATTCCTTCTGACATAGAAGTGTGAGAATTGATAGTGCATATAAGAATGCTCATGAGATTTTTTTGTAAGTGTATATGTTTTTTTCCAGGGCTCTGGTGAAACAATTCCAAATTGGACATTTTGTCCCCAACTCTTGACATCTACACTGTCATAATTATCACTTTTATTGAAAATTAACATTATATTTTTAAACAAGTTACATTTTCATGACGTACACTGACTCTGATCTGATATATTGGGTACTACTGCACAACAGCTTGAACAGTCCCCCTTCCCTCCCTTCAACAGAACTAAACCTAAGATACACCTGACACCCATAACTCACACCCAACATGACAACGAATCAGAGTTACTAGGTCACTGTATTCAATAGCATATCAAGCTCAGGTGATTCAGGCCCATACAGCCTTTAAAGGTCATATTTCCATATGGCTGTCTTGCCACATAATCCCAGTGAGAAATGGGCTACGGAGACCAGCGGTGGCAGAAAGCAGGAAACCATTTCTTTAAGATGTGAGAAGGTTTTTATCATTCATTGTCAGGAACGTTCTGGACATCATCCATCAAGTATCTAATGGGTTCTTTTTAAAATTGTGCATTCAGATGTTTTGCAGTGAATATCAAGCTGGCTGAATATAATTCTGCACTGTGAGTGTGTGGGTTGTGCAAGGGAGGGTGGATAGCCGTTTCTGTGTGGATAGCCGTTTTTGTGAGGATAGGAATTATATAATTTAAAGAATACATCATTTTGGGTGGTAACCAAGTGTAATTGAAATAATCAGGAATACTGCTCTGTTCACCACAGATATACATGTACCGGTAATTACAATGTCAGATAGGGTGGTGGGGTAGCCTAGTGGTTAAAGTGTTCACTCGTCACACCAAAGATCTGGGTTTGATTCCCCTCATGGGCACAATGTGTGAAGCCCATATCTGTTCCACCCGCCGTGATATTATTGGAATATTGATAAAAGTGGTGTAAACTAAACTCACTCACACAACAATGTCAGATAAGGCTAATATTGCATATAACAAACCCATTATAGTTTCTCAGCAGAAGTAAATCAAGTTAACGAATGTGTGAATTGTGAATTTAGGGCATTATGCATTAATACTGACAGTTCAAAATGTCCTTAACACCTACTGTTAATATTGAACATTCTTGTTGTGTGTTCATCAAATATTAACCACATTTGTGCCTTTTAAACCCAATTGATCAACACACTTATTGGACACCAGTTCTTTTCCAGCATTGACAATTATTTCTCAGAATTTTAATAATTTGTTGACAATAATAGTTGCCTTGAAAGTCCATAAAATGGCTAGTGTTACTCCTGAGAAAACATGTTGGGCACTTTTAGATTTATGGTTCAGACACTCAATTGATGCCAAGGAAAAGGTTTGGAACCAACATTATTTTAATGAAAAATACACACAAGAATATACATGTACATGAAACACATTCACATGCATCCAAAGAAATTCTTAATGTTTCTGGGTTCAATTACAAGCAGCAACCTTTCTCACATTCTCATTTTGCCAGAATGATAGAAAACCAACAAGTTACTTTTGACTATCATACAGTTTGTGAAAAATTCTCATCTCTGGCCACCGTCATGACAGTTTAGTGATTCAGTCTATAAATACATGTCATTCCACCCTGTGACAATTTGTACAGGTAAGTGGTAGGGGTAAGGTTAAACCTGGGTTACAAGGTGTCATCTAGATCCACACACAGAAAACAGACTATCAGCCATGGTGACAGTACAGATTGTGTACATTAGTCTCAACAAGGATTAGTTTCTTCAATTGTATGAGGATAATGTAGCAGCCATGATGTTAAACTGTCAAGTCAGAAGTATGAGTTTGCTTCATCAGCCTGGTACAATATGTGAAGACAATTCTCGGTGTAGTTGGCCATGACAGTTGAGGTTTTGTTTGTGTATTTCTTGTTAAAGCAATATTCTTGTTGTAAGACAGTGATTAGACTAACAACTATTTTCTGAAATGAACGTGTTTTACAGATAAAACAGTTCCTAAATTATAATCATGAAATATAATGAAAAGGAACCCAGAGACTTTCTTCATTTTTACTTGCCCTACAATCTAGACTTGCATGGACTTTCTTAGATATACACGTATTTGTTTCTGGGTCTGTATCACAGACTAGACAGTGATGATCAAACCAGGACAAGACATTCAAGTGATTCACAGCATAACTAAGGTATTGGTTGCTGAATTTCAATGCCTACAGGGCGGTAGGGTAGCCTAGTGGTTAAAGCGGTTGCTTGTCATGCCTAAGATCCGGTGTTACAGGCCAAACTTTCCTCGGGGAAACTTTGGCCAAGGACAATCTTTCCCTGTGGAAACTTTGGCCTAGGCCAAACTCCTCCCAAACTAGGCTTAATCTTCCCCGGGGAAAGTTTGTCCACCCTTGTTTTCATGCTTATGTTTGTCTTGAAAATGTCAGAAACTTTCCCCGGGGTAAGGACATTCTAGGACAAAACTTCCTCAGGGAAAGTTTGGCCTAGGCCAGATTCTACCCGGTGAAAGTTTAGACCGGGGAAGAAATGGCCTGCTACACCGGGTTAATTTCCCCACAGGGGTACAATGTCTGAAGCCCATTTCTGGTGTCCCCTGCCATGATATTGCTGGAATATTGCTAAAAGCGGCATAATACCATACCTGCTCTTCCAGCAGCTCACTCGCTCCAATACTAACACAGATCTTCACAGGAGGTCAGAGTACTTAGATAAATTATTGATATAATTGACATGAAAATAAAGACAATACTTACATGGCGCCAAAGAATAGGTGTCAGGTTTTGATCCAATAGTGAAGTCAGTTCTTCCTTCTATCTTGTAGTCCAGCCTGGCAACGAATTTGTCGAAGTCGTGTTTGTCAAACTCGGACACGATGGTGCGTATGTAGGGCATGAGACGAAGCTTGCCTGGAGTGTTGATGATCTGGACCAGTTCCTGGCAGAAGATCTCGATGTGTCGTGATCGCTGGTACTTCTTGGCACAGCGGTACATGAACTCCTTCTCCGCCTCGGTCAGCAGGCTCCGTACCAGGTACTTGTAGTTCTTCTTTATCTCCCGCTTGGAGAGACCCACACCCGAGATGCTCTGATTCGACATTCTCTCTCGCTTCTTCACAAAAGCCATAGTAACTCCTTACGAGGACCCACGAAAAGGAGTATATTCCGAAAATCTGATAGCTCAAGGACACAAACTAAGGATTCAGTTTAAGTATGGATCTTAAGGAGATAGGGAAAAGACCAGGCTTAGGGTCTCCGCTTTGGGATGGATGTTTGGGACATGCTTAAGGATCCAGCTTCGTGATGCAGCTTAATGACACAACAGTAGGACTTAGTTCACAGCCTCATTTGATAAATTAACCTAACAATGCCCTGAATAAGACAATATGATAGAAATGCAATATTTCTAGCAGGGTATGAAAAAATGAGGCTTTAACTCATTGAGACAGCTACTCCACAGTCACAATATCCATTCAAGTTTCCGACTTTATCAAAAGGCGTGTAATCAGATTCATCAGTGTCATTCTACCGTTTGGGATCAATAGCGCCAACACAATGTCCTTCCATACACGGTTGTCCCATACCCTGGGGCAGATAAAGTCAGTGGAGTACAATCCTTTGATTTATGTCACTACAACACTACTTCTGACTGGGAATCCCAAGTGCACCAATCCCACTATTAGTTTCATGTAGTTGGCCTTTAAAACCTTGTCTTTACTCATTGTATAATGTCTCTTTACCCATTGTATAATGTCAGGGGCATGTTATAAATTATATTATACAATAGTTCTTGGTATGATATTTAACTCTTCACAAAAACACAATCCAAGTATCTACTACCGGGTACCCCTGAGAGGTCAGAGGTCAGAGAAACTCCATGTGTTCACTGAGTATCTACTTCCTGTTCTCGTCCTCTCTACACAACCCTAGTTGTTTTCCTTCCAACGTACAAAACACAGCCTGGTCATATATTTTGGAATTATATGTGCTTTCACTGACAGGTTTATGGGAGTGAGACGTGATTCATCAGGTAATCAATGAATGTGATCATCTCACCGATTCTTACATCACGAAAGGACTATTTTTCTTCGAAAACAGACGATTACTGTCATTCAGACCAGTGACCTTGTCGCGATGTCACTGATGTCATTAACCTCTGTGTCACGTCAGTGTAAACATCACAGTGGTGACGAAGTACCACAACTGTCACTCAGCCTGACACTCCCCGGTCTTCTGTCACAAAGGCAGAGCTGTAAGTAGAAGTGTAATAGCATTGTGAAACATGTCAAACACACAACAGGAGATGTGGAATTCACAAGATAATAGGGGAGGTAGGGGTAGCCTAATGGTTAAAGCGTCCGCTCGTTACGCTGAAGACCAGGGTTCGATTCCCCACATGACAGTGTGTGAAGCCCATTTCTGGTGTCCCCGCCGTGATATTGCTGGAATATTGCTAAAAGCGGTTTAAAACTAAACTCACTCACTCACTCACTCATGGCATAATATGGCAGCCTGCCTTGTACAATAGATTCTGGTCATTGTGTTCAACCATGGTGAGACTTGTTTACATTTATGTGTTAATACAGAAATACAATGCTGGTTATTTTCCTGAGAAACAATGTTTTTTGTCCTTAATAAATATATTCCAGACACGTGGACCTGTGTGGAAAGTATCATATATATCAGCCTGTACTTTCATAACACAGAAGAACATTGTGTGACTATGTGAACCTCACTGTGTAATATAACACAAATACACATAACAGCAGCTCAAATTCACAAAATAAATATTTATGCTAAGCCCAGGCTATTGTGAGCCAACTATATCAAATGACACCATTTTAATTGTGTTCCCATGTCCACATCCTGGTCACAGCGAAAAGAATGACACCAAAGAAATGCACCACTTTACAGACATTTAATACCTGGTGTATACACTACAGCCTATAGACCTGTCACCAAGAACCAAATGGCACCAGGGTAGTGTGCCAGTTTATAGCCTTTCAATACCTGGTGTATACGACTCGTACTACAACAGGACACTATACACCTAGTTCCTGTACAGTTTACATAGCTCTCTGTCCCAGTTTACTATTCCTATGATTTAATGTGATGTTCATGCTTCAAACACAGCCCCTACACCTTCATTCACAGCATGTAGTCTAGACTTGCTTCATGGCTGGTCTGACAGATAAATGTACTGTAATTCATCCTGCTTTAAACACAGCCCCTACACCTTCATTCATAGCATGTAGTCTAGTCTTGCTTCATGGCTGGTCTGACAGATAAATGTACTGTAATTCATCCTGCTTTAAACACAGCCCTTACACCTTCATTCACAGCATGTAGTCTAGTCTTGCTTCATGGCTGGTCTGACAGATAAATGTACTGTAATTCATCCTGCTTCAAACACAGCCCCTACACCTTCATTCACAGCATGTAGTCTAGTCTTGCTTCATGGCTGTTCTGACAGATAAATGTACTGTAATTCATCTTGCTTCAAACACTGCCCTTACACCTTCATTCACAGCATGTAGTCTAGTCTTGCTTCATGGCTGTTCTGACAGATAAATGTACTGTAATTCATCTTGCTTCAAACACTGCCCTTACACCTTCATTCACAGCATGTAGTCTAGTCTTGCTTCATGGCTGGTCTGACAGATAAATGTACTGTAATTCATCCTGCTTCAAACACAGCCCTTACACCTTCATTCACAGCATGTAGTCTAGTCTTGCTTCATGGCTGGTCTGACAGATAAATGTACTGTAATTCATCTTGCTTTAAACACAGCCCTTACACCTTCATTCACAGCATGTAGTCTAGACTTTCTTCATGGCTGTTCTGACAGATAAATGTACTGTAATTCATCTTGCTTCAAACACAGCCCTTACACCTTCATTCACAGCATGTAGTCTAGACTTGCTTCATGGCTGTTCTGACAGATAAACGTACTGTAATTCATCCTGCTTCAAACACAGCCCTTACACCTTCATTCATAGCATGTAGTCTAGACTTGCTTCATGGCTAGTCTTACAGATAAATGTACTGTAATTCATCCTGCTTCAAACACAGCCCTTACACCTTCATTCACAGCATGTAGTCTAGACTTGCTTCATGGCTGGTCTTACAGATAAATGTACTGTAATTCATCCTGCTTCAAACACAGCCCTTACACCTTCATTCATAGCATGTAGTCTAGACTTGCTTCATGGCTGTTCTGACAGATAAACGTACTGTAATTCATCCTGCTTCAAACACAGCCCTTACACCTTCATTCATAGCATGTAGTCTAGACTTGCTTCATGGCTGTTCTGACAGATAAACGTACTGTAATTCATCCTGCTTCAAACACAGCCCTTACACCTTCATTCACAGCATGTAGTCTAGACTTGCTTCATGGCTGTTCTGACAGATAAATGTACTGTAATTCATCCTGCTTCAAACACAGCCCTTACACTTCTTCATTCATAGCATGTAGTCTAGACTTGCTTCATGGCTGTTCTGACAGATAAATGTACTGTAATTCATCCTGCTTCAAACACAGCCCTTACACCTTCATTCATAGCATGTAGTCTAGACTTGCTTCATGGCTGGTCTGACAGATAAATGTACTGTAATTCATCCTGCTTCAAACACAGCCCTTACACCTTCATTCACAGCATGTAGTCTAGACTTGCTTCATGGCTGTTCTGACATAAATGTACTGTAATTCATCCTGCTTCAAACACAGCCCTTACACCTTCATTCATAGCATGTAGTCTAGACTTGCTTCATGGCTGGTCTGACAGATAAATGTACTGTAATTCATCCTGCTTCAAACACAGCCCTTACACCTTCATTCACAGCATGTAGTCTAGACTTGCTTCATGGCTGTTCTGACAGATAAACGTACTGTAATTCATCCTGCTTCAAACACAGCCCTTACACCTTCATTCACAGCATGTAGTCTAGACTTGCTTCATGGCTAGTCTTACAGATAAATGTACTGTAATTCATCCTGGTTTAAACACAGCCCTTACACCTTCATTCACAGCATGTAGTCTAGACTTTCTTCATGGCTGTTCTGACAGATAAATGTACTGTAATTCATCCTGCTTCAAACACAGCCCTTACACCTTCATTCATAGCATGTAGTCTAGACTTGCTTCATGGCTGGTCTGACAGATAAATGTACTGTAATTCATCCAGCTTTAAACACAGCCCTTACACCTTCATTCACAGCATGTAGTCTAGACTTGCTTCATGGCTGTTCTGACAGATAAATGTACTGTAATTCATCCTGCTTCAAACACAGCCCTTACACCTTCATTCACAGCATGTAGTCTAGACTTGCTTCATGGCTGTTCTGACAGATAAACGTACTGTAATTCATCCTGCTTCAAACACAGCCCTTACACCTTCATTCATAGCATGTAGTCTAGACTTGCTTCATGGCTAGTCTGACAGATAAATGTACTGTAATTCATCCTGCTTCAAACACAGCCCTTACACCTTCATTCATAGCATGTAGTCTAGACTTGCTTCATGGCTGGTCTGACAGATAAATGTACTGTAATTCATCCAGCTTTAAACACAGCCCTTACACCTTCATTCATAGCATGTAGTCTAGACTTGCTTCATGGCTGTTCTGACAGATAAATGTACTGTAATTCATCCTGCTTCAAACACAGCCCTTACACCTTCATTCACAGCATGTAGTCTAGACTTGCTTCATGGCTGTTCTGACATAAATGTACTGTAATTCATCTTGCTTCAAACACAGCCCTTACACCTTCATTCATAGCATGTAGTCTAGACTTGCTTCATGGCTGGTCTGACATAAATGTACTGTAATTCATCCTGCTTCAAACACAGCCCTTACACCTTCATTCACAGCATGTAGTCTAGACTTGCTTCATGGCTGGTCTGACAGATAAACGTACTGTTATTCATCCTGCTTCAAACACAGCCCTTACACCTTCATTCATAGCATGTAGTCTAGACTTGCTTCATGGCTAGTCTTACAGATAAATGTACTGTAATTCATCCTGCTTCAAACACAGCCCTTACACCTTCATTCATAGCATGTAGTCTAGACTTGCTTCATGGCTGGTCTGACATAAATGTACTGTAATTCATCCTGCTTCAAACACAGCCCTTACACCTTCATTCATAGCATGTAGTCTAGACTTGCTTCATGGCTGTTCTGACAGATAAACGTACTGTAATTCATCCTGCTTCAAACACAGCCCTTACACCTTCATTCATAGCATGTAGTCTAGACTTGCTTCATGGCTGGTCTGACATAAATGTACTGTAATTCATCCTGCTTCAAACACAGCCCTTACACCTTCATTCACAGCATGTAGTCTAGACTTGCTTCATGGCTAGTCTTACAGATAAATGTACTGTAATTCATCCTGCTTCAAACACAGCCCTTACACCTTCATTCATAGCATGTAGTCTAGACTTGCTTCATGGCTGTTCTGACAGATAAATGTACTGTAATTCATCCTGCTTCAAACACAGCCCTTACACCTTCATTCACAGCATGTAGTCTAGACTTGCTTCATGGCTAGTCTTACAGATAAATGTACTGTAATTCATCCTGCTTCAAACACAGCCCTTACACCTTCATTCACAGCATGTAGTCTAGACTTGCTTCATGGCTGTTCTGACAGATAAATGTACTGTAATTCATCCTGCTTCAAACACAGCCCTTACACCTTCATTCACAGCATGTAGTCTAGACTTGCTTCATGGCTAGTCTTACAGATAAATGTACTGTAATTCATCCTGCTTCAAACACAGCCCTTACACCTTCATTCACAGCATGTAGTCTAGACTTGCTTCATGGCTAGTCTGACAGATAAATGTACTGTAATTCATCCTGCTTCAAACACAGCCCTTACACCTTCATTCACAGCATGTAGTCTAGACTTGCTTCATGGCTGTTCTGACAGATAAATGTACTGTAATTCATCCTGCTTCAAACACAGCCCTTACACCTTCATTCACAGCATGTAGTCTAGACTTGCTTCATGGCTAGTCTTACAGATAAATGTACTGTAATTCATCCTGCTTCAAACACAGCCCTTACACCTTCATTCACAGCATGTAGTCTAGACTTGCTTCATGGCTGTACTGACTGAATATACTGTAATTTATCCTTTAAACTAGACTAACGCTAGGTCCAGATAAGCAGACATCTAAGGATGCCAGAGAAATGGTGTGGAACCAACTGCATTTTTTCATGAAAACCAACTGTGAATCAAATCTTTGACATTTTACACAATTATGGGCAAGGTGTTTATACACCAAGTTTTATCATGACTGCTAACCAAAGAGACTTGCAGGTCTCAAAGGAAATGATCATTGGTTTGAATCATTATTCCTAGATTAAATAAATAAAAAGTCCTTTCATCCTTAGATGTCTGCTTATCTGGACCCGCCTGTTTGAAGTAAGACTGTCTCACAGTCCCTGATCATGAACTGCATTGTTTTCCCTTCCTTCAGTGCTTTCAGCAATGCTAAAGCCTTAACTTAAAGGTCACATGCAACGTAAAACACAACTTTGCAGATTCTCATACCTTTCGGTATGGACATACCGAAACAAATCGTCAAAAATGCAAATTCAACTTATAAAGTTGAAAAATAACGCGATGAAGTAAATTAACTGTTTATATAATTTCAATTGTCTATTTCACCACACGTTCTTCTTACCGAGACACTTTCTCAGTTCGATACTTAAAAGCAATGTCATTATTTAGCGTTGACAGAATTTCTAACTGTGATATAGATATGTCGTTGTCACAGACAAAACTCAATGTCTTGTTTTATTGACACCTGTGAGTCTGCCTGCCTGTCTGCTAATGACAATATTCAATACACAGCTGCTATCACTGACCACATGCAATTTGAACTTAACACCAATCAGGCTATACACCATAAACAAAACGCATTGATTTATGGTCCGAGTTCGGTCTCTGTCACATTATGTAATTACACAGACAGGCAGGTGTGAGCTTGAACACATGACATGTTATGATGTCTGTTGATTGCAAAATGTTATACACAAAAAATGAGCATGTATTTACAAAACCCAACATCTCTATATCTACACACACAATGAGCCGTGAAGGCGGCATCTGCAAATGAACCAGCCGTTACACTTGAGTGCACACCCACCCGCTCTGACTGGGTTCGGTATCCCGGCTGCTTCGTTTCGAGGGAGGTAAACCAAAGTACAAAATATTGCACTTTTGATTGGCGATTATATGCTTATAATTTTGTTTATTTGTTTTTTCATAATCAGCAATGCATATTATATGTCATGAAGAAGTGATAATTGTGTTTTAATTATGTTTGATTTTTTGGTTGCGTGTGACCTTTAACCAAGTCTAGATTTCCTCATCTTCTATCTCACTGAAGCTCCTTTTCAATGTAATAGGAATTATTTGTGTCCATCAAAATTATATATATTCAGAAACTAAACGTCTACCTAAAGTGACCAGGAATTACATGTAATTGAAATACTGCTAAACTTTACTCACACACTGTTATAAGTATTGCCATATGGCTGTATTACAGCTGATGTGAGGTAAACATTTGAACTGACTCACTGTCAAGACAAATATTTGGTAACCTAAGAGAGGTGGTTGAAAATTTCTGAGTACAAAGTATGCATAGTGTACACTTAACACATTGCACATATTAAGTAAAACACTCTCCATGCTTACATGTTGCATTTTAACCATACACAACCAGGCCACAAATGTCTTGAGGCACCAAAGAGACAAAGTTTAAGCCTGTAATACATTACTTCAGAGTGCATATGTGTAAGTGTAAGCCAGTGACACATACATGTACTATAACAGATTGCATATACATGTATGTAAGTGTAAGCCAGCGATATTATACTACTGTGCGTATCTGCCACATTTAATAATAACATTGTGACATTGAAGACCAACAATCAGACAGTACTCAGAAGAAGATTGATGCATAATTCAGTTTTATAGTATATATTTATAGCCTTGTACTCAGAGCCAGACAGACTAACTATTTGTAGTTCGGTATCAAATATTCCCAAAAAGACACAGCTGGATCATTAGCCATATCAAGTTCACCATCAAAACATAGCATTTCTCAACACAGCTCCACCTTGTCTATTTTGTAGATTTATCAAACAACACACTCAGCAATATTCCAGGTAAATAATTGAGTCTGGATCAGACAATCCAGTGATCAACATCATGAGCATCGATCTATGCAATTGGGATATGACATGTATCAACCAAGTCCATGAGTCTGACCACCTGACCCCGTTAGTCACTTTTCACAACAAGCATGGGTTGCTGAAGACCAATTCTAACCAAGAGATTTAGTACTGAGCCCTGTATATCGATTATGCATATGATTCCCACCATATGGATTCCAGGTAAGAATCAGTCCTTAACGATCCATGCTGGTTGTAAGATGCAATGGATCAGTGGCCAGGCAAAGTGATATGGTTGACAGCATGTCACTTCAACCCCATAGTGTGGAGCTCTCATCACAATATCAATCACTGGATTACCTGGTCCAGATTCAATTACTTACAAACCATCTTGAAAAGTGAATATTGCTCAGTGTTGCATGAAACAAGAAACAAAGCACATGATTCCGACAAACTGACTTGGTTCTGTAACGAGGCTACAAGAACAACATCACCAACCTTACATCAGCAGCAGTTTCTTGTGTATAGTCATATTACCTGACAAAACCTGACAAAACAACTTACCCTAGTATTTGGGTTTAACTGACAGTCACATCCACGGGGGCCACTCAAACACTGGCAACAGCATCCACAAGCTGCGGTTTACAAATGAGCTACTTCACAGCATTTCATGTGTAACGTGTCAACAAAACCATTACAATTCTTCTGCCAAATTTATTTTGTGAATGTCATTCTGACCATTAACGTCCTTTTGATGAGCATGTACAAGTATACGCCATTGAAAACCCCCACACCTTCCTCCACTTGTATGACCCGCCCTTCTATATTCTGTTTTCCCCTTTGCCCTTGCCTATAGTGAGCTAGAACCTGTTTTAAACCTGGGGCTGAGGGTGTTCAGGAATTTTACATATATGTTTCCTTAAAAAATCAAACAGAAACATGTTTCAAATAAACTTATACTAATTTGGACCCTGCATTTTTATGCTATTTTTTCACCTTATCAATAATTGTGACAGATCCAGTAAAACAAGAAAGAGATATTATCTAGCCTAACTAAGCATGAATATCTTTCCTTGTGTCCTATCTTTCACAATGTCTCTAAATAATGAAGCTTATGTGAACATGCTCTCACAGGAGCTATGTCAGCCAGAGATAAACATTACCATAAGTGTTTGGTGTCAGTTGGGATTTCATCATCAATCATTTCATGTACGGGATCCATCATAAAAAGTGACCTGTATACTTGTGGGTAGACTTGCATAAATCTCTAAGGTAATAATTAATAGTTTAAATAAAAATTACTGAAAGAATATAAATAACAGACTGGCATCTTAAGTCTGGTTATCTAGACTTGCTTCTTTAAAGGATAGAATTATTGTACATCCATGGGCTCAGCATTCAGTACAGCATTCGAGCAAGGCTAACTTGTGGGCTCTGTGCTGAGTGCTTATGAATACGATGTACAGATCGGTTAAGAAACAGGCATGGTTTGTTTGAGTGTCATTTCTTAGAAGTCTAACAGTCATGGTGCTGTATAGGTTATGTACAGAGTACCTGGAGATGTTGGTCTGGGGTGGAGTAATATAGAGAATACAGTCAGTTTTGATCTGAGTCATGAAACTCCGATGTTTGCAAAGAGCATATTTAATATCAGAGATGGGAGGGGCCGGGAAAAGCCATGAGTAGGATTATACAATGTCAGTCAACAGACTGTACATTACTGGTCACAAATCACATTACATACTACCACATAATTATACAAAGGGCTGTTAAAATAAGAATATATAACTTGTTAACCTATTGCAAAATGTATGTCTGGTGTCAACTGTCCATGATCATTTAGAGTCTACATTAGGCCCCAAAAAATAAATGTTGTGGTTCCGATTTCCTACATTTCAGAACTAGGGTAGGTAGGTAGGGGTTGGTATTTTTGGCAAAATATTTTTACATTACTCATGTGTCAGAAAATAGATTTAATTTATTATGTGGTGAGTAAAATTGTTAGGCTCAGCGGGAATATTTAGGGTCGGTCGGGAAATCGGAACCACAAGCTTTTTTTTTAGGCCTTACTTAAATTCATTGTGGCATAGTAGCTATTAAAAAAATTCTTTAATCTGTAGGGACTGATTGCCAATAAACCAACCATTAGTTGAATGTAAATTTTCCAAATAAGATAAAATATTCACCCTTACAGTTTCACATTGATGTTCATATTATATTTGGCATTCCACCTTTTGTCCAAAAGACCAAGAAAAACATAGAAACAAAGCATAAACAATATAAATATATCCATGTTGAGGATGTCCCAGCGATAAGTAAACGTTTTTCTATAATCCAACCTATGATTCACAAATGGAGTTAGTATGTGTGCTGTGGTTTTGAGTAGCTAGAGTAGATGGCGACAGTGAATATTGATCCACCCTACTTGGTAACCTAAAATACATTATTAACACTAATTCCAGTTTCAACCCTGATTCTCCTGCTTAATTACACCACAATGTTCGATATACATACCTAATGTGATTAAATCCAATCCAACGTTATACCTTGAAGTTGTTTGCAAACACCTGGGTTTCCAGCAATTTAAGTTCTCAGTCAGGCTCTTAACGCTACCTGAAACACGTCACTTTGGTTACTCCCTATAAAACTGGTCTACTCCTCTCTGAATCGTTTCCCTAACGGCATACGTAGTCAGGCCTAGTCACAAACATCCTATATTCGATATTCAATAAGCATGCCATTTGTCTCCCAGCTGTCAGAATACAATAAGACCTACGGGCACATGTTCACTGTACCAGCTGTTCACTAGCAGATGACGCTGTAGGGACAGGAGCGAGTAGACTACTTCCGGTGCAAAGGTGGCCGAGCTTTTGAAAACATCAAGTTTATGGGGGGGTTCGAATCCCAATAGAAACGACGTAATATATTTATAACTATCATTTTTTTATTTTTGTGCTTTGAATATAGTTTTCAGAGGTAAATGTGTGTTTCTAACAATAATTGCTTACTTTTATAGATACAAATGCATGGTTTAAAAGGAGTTGAAAATGATGCAGGTGTAAAACTAGTTACAAAATAAACAAAAGTCATGATCTGTAAATATGGGTGTTTCGCATATAAATCACGAGGCAGAGAGAAAGTGGTTTTATCGTCTCAGACCCATAAAACATGGCAATAAACTGCAAAAGACCAGTCAGTTCGTCAGGCCGTTTCCATAGTTATCCAATAACAGCTGCATGAAGGATTGAGGAGGTGTGAGTGTGTTGCTACTTATTACCTACTGATTGTCGTTAACATGCAGGCTCGGGTACCACAGGCCCTAAAACGTAGGAGTAAGTTGCTTTTAACGTCGCTTTGATATTATATTAGATTTTGTTTGTTTTTTGGAGAAGTTATTCTCATTTTCACATTGTCATGTTTCCACACCTAAGCAGTTGTCACACCAAAGGAATGTTCAGATTTAAACATGTTTACCGTTAGGTATTTGTATGTATTTAGTCTTCATGTCTTTACGTCAAAATGAAATGTCAAAATGAAATGTACGACACGTGACACTTTATTAAAATCATCATCATCATCATCACAACCACCACCACCGGCATCACCATGATCAGCAGCAGCAGGGGCGGTGGGGGGAGACTAGTAGGTTAAAGCGTCCACTCGTCATGCCGAAGACCCGGGTTCGATTCCCTACATTTGCACAATGTGTGAAGCCCATTTCTGGTGTCCCTCGCCGTGATATTGCTGGAATATTGCTGAAAGCGGCGTAACGCTAAACTCTTCTTTTTTTCTCTTTTTTTATTTAAACTCACTCACTCACTCCACTCATTCCACGGAGGGCTTCTCATCGCATTGGAATGGTGCCCGGTGTGTCCATGGAACACAAATCGCTGAAGTAAGCTACACATCAGCATAGTCACAGAGAACGGTGTAGTAGATGTGCATTCAACTTTTACCATTTTATTTTGGCGCTGAGAGCTAAACGGGTAACACGTTTCCATGGTTACCTGTTGAAACGGGAGGGGGATTCGTCATCATATCGTAAAAGTATTACAAAATTCCTTATAAATTGAATGCATGTTCGTATTGATAGATCAAAACGTCCATCACCATTGTGCCTGGCAATATAAACACCTCTGTGGTAAGCAAATATCAGGATCTGAGCTTTCGGTTAAACCATGTAGACATCCATCTCGCTAAACAAACAGAATCACGGGTTGTAACGCAACATGTCGGCCTGCAGCCAGACGCTTCAAGATTTACCATATTCCATCACTGATGGTGTTACTGCAGATTGCACCGTTTAAGACCAAACAGGTCCCGAAGATATCACAGGATGGGTCAAGTGCGTGCTTCGTGGATATCAAACAGATTCCATTAATTTTGCAAGAAAAACGATAGCGGCCGATCACTGAAGAAATGGTGAGCTGATACTGTGCTGTCAGGTGGGAGGCTTGTCGGCAATCGATTAAGGGATATGTGTTCGTTCGTTCGTTAGTGTCTTATATTTAACGCTACATTCATGACATTTCCACGCCAGGGCAAAACGAACCGGTGGCTGATAGCATGAACAAAGTCAGCATGGAAAGTGAAGAACAGTTAGCCGAATCCAACAACCTAACCATCCGATCTCAATTAGTCATCTCTTCCAAAAGGCTTAAGGTACCGGCTTATTCCAGGATTAAGGCACTGGCTTACTACAAGCTTAAGTTACCGGCTTACTGCAGGTTTAAGGTACCGGCTTACTGCAGGCTTAAGGTACCGGCTTACTGCAGGCTTAAGGTACCGACTTACTGCAGGCTTCAGGTACTGGCTTACTGCAGGCCTAAAGTACCGACTTACTGCAGGCTTACCGACTACAGGCTTAAGGTACTGGCTTACTGAAGGATTAAGGCATGAACATGAACTAATGGTCGCGCGGGATCTGTTAAACGCCCACGGACCACACAGGTGCACCCATGGCAGGTTTTGAACATGTTGGGTGCATTTCGGATGTGAACACTTTCAATGAGTTAGTGAGTGGATTGTTACACTTTTCCTGACAGTAAGCAAATAAGCGTTTTTCGACCTTCGTTCGTATTCGTTTGATTGTTGTTTGAAACCGCACTCAGCAATTAATAGCCAGCGTGGACCAAACAATCCAGTGATTGACCTCATAGGCATCTATCCTGTGATACGGTAGATCTACCCTTAAGTTTGACCCTTGATTACTTGGATGAGCTGTTTCACCCTGAGTTTTCCACAGGCGACCATCATGATTTGTCAAATGTCTGCCATCACCAACATATGCCACATCTGTACAGTTGTCAGACATGTTCTCATTAATGGATATGCTCTACTTTACATACATAGCTCTCGTCACAGAGGCGGGTGGAAACATATACATGTACCATAGAATCACCGTTATCTTTGTGTGTAAAAAGTACTACCAAACACAAACCCCGGCGTTGGGGTCTTCCCTGGAAAACACATCCTCGTTTCATTTACTCAGTAGAGCTATAAACAGGCTTTTCTAGAACTCTGAAACACAAGCAAGGTATAAATATAAGAGTCTGTTAGATGTGATATATAGGTAGTGCTGAATGTGTGGGGGACATCTATATGCACGCCGGAGGGCGTGGCATTCCTAACAGTAACTTTGATACTGAGATATCCCCTTCTTGAAGAATTCTTTATGTACAATAGTCTGTAAACCAACCTGTGTCAGCAGATCTTACAAATCCTAGCTTCTGATGCCAACGATCATGTCTTATCTCTCATATCTGGCTATATCTGCGGGGCTTCTTCCTTCTTACATGACTGAAAACATTCCAAGTCCCCGTCAAATGTTAGACAGGGCTATGGTTCAAGGTCTGGAAACGGTATTTGTGTGTAGTGAGGGGGTGGTGCCGTAGGAGATAACTAGCCTGGCGGGTAGGGTAAGTCATGGAATGTCGGTGGAAGTGAATGACATACACCTGAACTGAAAATTTTCGAAAAAGGTACAGATTTTAGATAACAACGGCCAATGAAAGTGAGTGCGTTTTAATTTTACTCCGCTTTTAGCAATATCACGGCGGTGAAACAGGAAATAGGCTTCATACTTTGTATATATACCCATGTGGGGAATCGAACCCAGATTTTTAACGACTAGGCTACAATGTAAGTAAACTACCTTGGACTCGGTGATGTAGAGGATAGAGCGTCTGCCCTGAGACCATAATGTCGATGGTTCGATACCCTAGGCCTTGCCGCTTCGTACCAGTGACAATGGTGTCACGCCACTTTTAGCAATATTTCATCAATATAAGGGCGAGACCAGAAATAGCTAGGAAAGACGTTTATAGACGGTACTTCTTGTTCTCCTGCCTTGTGCTCTACGGTAGGGTAGCCTAGTGGTTAAAACGTTCGCTCGTCACGCCAAAGACCTGAGTTCGATTGGCCACATGGGTACAATGTGTGAAGCCCATTCCTGGTGTCCCCGACGTGATATTGCTGGGATATAAAAGCAACGCACAACTAAACTCACTCACTCTGCAATAGGGATGTAACAAGTACTGGTCGGCTCTAGGTTAGTGTTGTACATGTGTCTCAGAGACGTATCCACGTGAAGCTCTGTGGGTAGGTACTACAGTAGTTGGCCATAAGTGAGTCATCATTAGTGAAATTCCCATAGACTTGCATGTTAATTAACTCTTGCAAGAATAAGTTTTATAAGTTTTCGGTCGAATTGTTTCAACATCTCAAAATCTGGAAAATCATCTCAGCTACATACACATAATTTCCATTCAATTTTCCGATGATTATTAAGAAAACTGCAACCATTTAAAACACATATATTAGACATAACAATCAGGTTTAACATGCCTGTCTATGGGATAGATTAATAGTTGTACTTATACATGGTGCTTAATCAGTCGTCATTCGATAACTAATCAACGGAAATATGAAAGAAAATTATGTACACGTAGCTAAAGATGATTTCCAAGATGTTTGCAAGCTATAAAAATAGAATGACTTTCACTCAATTTATGAAGATTATTCTTGCAACAGTTAATTAGCATGTAAGTCTATGGAAATTTCACTAATGATTACTCACTTATGGCCAACTAATGTATGTAACATGGTGCCGGAGTAACAGTCTAACACGACGTTAAACACTACGTACGTCGACTCGTGGGTGTGTTACACGCCCAGGAAATACAATGGCTACATGGTACTGTGTTCACGTCACTCATAGGGGCATGATGAATTGATGGAGGCTAAACTTTACATGTTGTGAAGCCCACGAACAGACACGCAACATCTGATGGGGAACAGATTCCTGTGGGTGATGAATATGGGAGCCGACACACCCATAGATCTATCATAATCACCACACACATGCTGATAACGTCAACCGTGTCCGTGACGTTACTGAAGATTTTATATCACGTCGTTTCAAAACTGTCTGTGATTACCAAACTCACCGTCTTCTTCAAGCACAACTATGATAAAATATAGCCATCATAGCCTTGTATTTCCTCTCAATAGATGCTCTCGATCCGTCTTCTCAGCCTTGTACCTACAAAGTTAATTTACTGGGAATATATATCTGTAAATATATCGTACGTTATTGTTCAAGTGTATGTTCCCACATTCGCCAATCTCATAAACCAGCCTTCAACTGCCTCTTCATCAACGAATAGTTTACCCTGTCTTGTCTCAAGTTTCCACTTATTTACACAAACTCCGTACGAAACACGGAATAAAACTTTGTAAACCTTCATTAACTTCAAGCTAAAAAGCAACCACACCGAAAGGATACAATTTAGGATCAAAAGTTGTTACTTCCGCAACTGCAATCTTGCGAGAGTTCGTTAATGGCGCACAATGTCCCTGTAACTTCACTCTTCAAAGGGTTTTGTGGTGTAGTGAAGTTCACTCAATGGCTAGCACATGTGTTATGTCGAGAACCGTATGTTATATGTCTATACAAACAGACGTCTTCACTAACATTCACGCCTGCCCAGTGAAAGGTTGTATATAGAAGTCATAGTAGGGAAACTGGTAAATACAATAAGTCACGGTGATGGCATTGTTGTGTAATAGTCAAGTCAGGTCTGTATATTGATCAAGACAATGCTGTAAAATGATTGAGACAATGCTGTAAAATGGTTGAGACAATGCTGTAAAATTGTTTCGAAAATGGTGTAAAATGGTTGAGACAATGCTGTAAAATGGTTGAGACAATGCTGTAAAATGGTTGAGACAATGCTGTAAAGTGGTAGAGACAATGCTGTAAAATGGTTGAGGCAATGCTGTAAAATGGTAGAGACAATGCTGTAAAATGGTTGAGGCAATGCTGTAAAATGGTAGAGACAATGCTGTAAAATGGTAGAGACAATGCTGTAAAATGGTAGAGACAATGCTGTAAAATGGTTGAGGCAATGCTGTAAAGTGGTAGAGACAATGCTGTAAAATGGTTGAGGCAATGCTGTAAAATGGTTGAGGCAATGCTGTAAAATGGTTGAGACAATGCTGTAAAATGGTTGAGACAATGCTGTAAAATGGTTGAGACAATGCTGTAAAATGGTTGAGGCAATGCTGTAAAATGGTTAACACAAGTCTGTTTAATGGTTTTAAGACAATAGTACATAATGATTCAAGACCATGCTCTGTTCTGGTCAAGACAGGAATGTTCTTGCATTCTGGGTAAAGACAGATCTGTATAATGTGTATTGTTCAAGAAAGGTTGTTAAATGACTCAAGACAACCCATAATATGTATTTCTGTTATTGCTATACACCTTGAGTGGTAATGGTGAACACACACCTTGAGTGGCAATGGTGAACACACACCTTGAGAGGTAATGTGAACACACCTTGAGTGGTAATGTGAACACACACCATGAGTGACAATGGTGAACACACACCTTGAGTGACAATGGTGAACACACCTTGAGTGGTAATGTGAACACACACCTTGAGTGGCAATGTTGAACACACACCTTGAGTGGTAATAGTGAACACACACCTTGAGTGGCAATGGTGAACACACACCTTGAGTGGCAATGGTGAACACACACCTTGAGTGGTAATAGTGAACACACACCTTGAGTGACAATGGTGAACACACCTTGAGTGGTAATGGTGAACACACCTTGAGTGGTAATATGAACACACACCTTGAGTGGCAACACACCTTGAGTGGCAATGGTGAACACACCTTGAGTGGTAAAACACACCTTGAGTGGTAATGTGAACACACACCTTGAGTGGTAATGGTGAACACACACCTTGAGTGGCAATGGTGAACACACACCTTGAGTGACAATGGTGAACACACCTTGAGTGGTAATGGTGAACACACCTTGAGTGGTAATGTGAACACACACCTTGAGTGGCAATGGTGAACACACCTTGAGTGGCAATGGTGAACACACCTTGAGTGGTAATGGTGAACACACCTTGAGTGGCAATGGTGAACACACACCTTGAGTGGCAATGGTGAACACACACCTTGAGTGGCAATGGTGAACACACACCTTGAGTGGCAATGGTGAACACACCTTGAGTGGCAATGGTGAACACACCTTGAGTGGTAATGGTGAACACACCACAATGGTGAACACACCTTGAGTGGCAATGGTGAACAACACACCTTGAGTGGTAATGTGAACACACACCTTGAGTGGCAATGTTGAACACACACCTTGAGTGGTAATAGTGAACACACACCTTGAGTGGCAATGGTGAACACACACCTTGAGTGACAATCGTGAACACACCTTGAGTGGTAATAGTGAACACACACCTTGAGTGACAATGGTGAACACACCTTGAGTGGTAATGGTGAACACACACCTTGAGTGGTAATGTGAACACACACCTTGAGTGGCAATGGTGAACACACCTTGAGTGGCAATGGTGAACACACCTTGAGTGGTAATGGTGAACACACCTTGAGTGGTAATGTGAACACACACCTTGAGTGGTAATGGTGAACACACCTTGAGTGGTAATGTGAACACACACCTTGAGTGACAATGGTGAACACATACCTTGAGTGGTAATGTGAACACACACCTTGAGTGGCAATGGTGAACACACACCTTGAGGGTCAATGTGAACACACACCTTGAGTGACAATGGTGAACACATACCTTGAGTGGTAATGTGAACACACACCTTGAGTGGCAATGGTGAACACACACCTTGAGTGGTAATGGTGAACACACACCTTGAGTGGTAATGGTGAACACACACCTTGAGTGGCAATGTCACCTCACACCTTGAGTGACAATGGTGAACACACACCTTGAGTGGTAATGTGAACACACACCTTGAGTGGCAATGGTGAACACACACCTTGAGTGGCAATTGTGAACACACACCTTGAGTGGTAATGGTGAACACACATCTTGAGTGGCAATGGTGAACACACACCTTGAGGGTCAATGTGAACACACACCTTGAGTGGCAATGGTGAACACACACCTTGAGTGGCAATTGTGAACACATACCTTGAGTGGTAATGGTGAACACACACCTTGAGTGGCAATGGTGAACACACACCTTGAGTGGTAATGGTGAACACACACCTTGAGTGGCAATGGTGAACACACACCTTGAGTGGCAATGGTGAACACACACCTTGAGTGGTAATGGTGAAGACACACCTTGAGGGTCAATGTGAACACACACCTTGAGTGGCAATGGTGAACACACACCTTGAGTGGCAATGGTGAACACACACCTTGAGTGGCAATGGTGAACACACACCTTGAGTGGTAATGGTGAACACACACCTTGAGTGGCAATGTGAACACACACCTTGAGTGGCAATGGTGAACACACACCTTGAGTGGCAGTGATGGACGTATCCTTACAATGGCAATGATGAACATACGTTTAGAACAAGCAAGGGCACACCAATCTATATTAGTATATACTCATGTATGTAAGTACGCTCCTATTTTGAACCTTTAGGTACATCCAAAAGCTGATATACCACATCAAATAGGTAATAATAGCCATCCGGTAAATGATTACAGGATCCACCTGTCAGGTCACGTGACATGGCACATACTTTACACGATAATTTCTACGCCACATTCTTCATTACTACACGTGCAGCAGGTGTGTGGAAGGTCCTAACTGCCGAACTCCTGTACCTCGTTACATGTTAGCTTTATCAAGTATGCTTTTGCCAGATATTTGTCTCGTAAACATTATAGTCAAAGACCAACAGGAAATACTGTCTTCTAATACAAAAAGACACGTGGAATGAATTAATGCGAGCACCTGTTATGGACGTGTGTGAAAGCCCGATTGCATGTGACAAGGCATGGGGTTTTGGACAATACCGTTCTTAAGTGGATACTATCAGTTGATGCTTTCTTAGTTGGTGGTTTATCTAAAGTAATTGTTTGTGGTGATATAAAATTAAAGACTACAAGAGTACCAAATCTTTACTCTGTGATTTTCAAGCTATACGTGGTACAAGAGCACCGAGTCGTACTAAACAGTGGAAGAATTTTGTCTTAGTTCATCCGCCATAGTGGGATTCCATTTCTGCACACGCCAAGAGTACATCGTGATGCATATCTCACAATTCCAACAATGTATCACTAAGTAAACATTGTACGTATGCATGACAACCTCAAACAGGAACAGGTGTAATGTTATAATGTGTGGGCCTACATCTAACTGCAATACGGGACGTGAACTACTTTCTGTTAGAGGAGATATATCTAAATGTCAGTAACTGAAATATTAACGATAGATGTTTGATGAGTGTAAGCCATTGTTACGTGTACTGATTTGTCATTCTAACTGCTTCCTGCATATATATGACTCCTCCAGTTGTCAGTTAGCCCCGATTATGTTTGTAGGTCTATCAGCCCCAAAACCGTGTGTTTCCCCAATGGTAAACATTAGACCTGCATCAAGTGTGCTTCGGGATTTCTTCCCATAAGCTGTTACACGCCTGAAGGACGGAGGATGCCAACGTCATCTTGGTAAACCTGTGTAAGCATCCCGGATGCCGAAATGCAGTAGGCTTAATGCCATAAATATTTATCTGGTACGGGGATGCCAATATTTTAACGTTAAAAATCATTTTTCGTCTCTATTTTTTAAAGTGACAAAACTCAGCCTTATTTACTTGTATCAGTTGAGTTGTATCATGACTCATGTGTTATTAAACTGGATGCCAAGACGATTCTGATGTATGCCGGATGACCAGAGTTGGATGCCCATGGGTTGGAACCAGACTCCTTCCCTTGCCAATACACCCTGTACGTCTTTTGGAGCCATTTAGAGTTGGAGCAGTAAGGAAGGATAATATGGATGTACAGCTAATACTTGCTTGATAGAACCTACACCGAAACGTCGCTCTCACTGGAATAAAGACGTTGTTCATCCATATATTGTTTCCGTGAACTGTATCAGTTGTACCTGTCCCGAGCATCCTATTCTAACCATGCCTCCACAAAGACAATCCTCCAGTGTGTTCCTGTTACCGAAATATACGTTAGTTGCAACATTCGAATATTTTTGCATTCTGTAGTTTTACCATTACTCATACCAAAGGGCTGTGAGCGGAAGTGGGCGGGAACAGCATATACGTTATACGGACAATCCGCAACAGGCTGGGTGTCATTAACAATCTGTTTCAGACCGTTTACCAATTAACTTTTAAAGATTGCCAGGAATTTTGACACACGGTTCCATCGTTTCTGGGAATGGTACAGCAGCCTTGAGTTAGGCTGAAAATACCCGCCTGTCTGACATGCCCGCTCGCTCCATGTCTCCGCAGGTGCCCGCCTCTCACACACCAACACGATGTCAGCCCGCTGTTTGCGCAAGAAGTGACTATTCTCAAGGCTGCATTTCAGAGATTGTATTCTTGCTGACATTCAATGTAAAAAGAGTTGTGAAAATAGGTTCGTTATGAAGACCGCCGCAGATTACAAAACAGTATGGTAAAACATATTGGAAAGCACTGTAAGATTTAGATGGCACAACATACTGTGTTCCCAACAAGGTTCTACAGAAACGAAATGTTTGGTGAGTTAGTGGGTATCCAAATTTAGACTTCCTTTACGTCAACATAATTTCAACGAATCAACATGTTGATCAGCATGATGACTATTCTGTGAAATATGGAAGAAGTAAACATTTTGGGAAAACAGTGTTGGGTCCAATTGTGGTATGTGTCGTGTACGAGTGGGTGACGCACTCCAGTTGACAGGGGACATTTTACAGCAGCTTCTAGCAGTAATCGCAGGCGATAGTCACTATCGTTGATATCTGTCCGTGATAAGTAAACTACCGAAACACGTCCACAATCACGAATGTATTCGTTGTTTAACTGTCAAGCTGCCTGCTTTAATATATGGGGTAAGAGTTTGAACTATTTTTTTTCAGTAATATAAACACAATTATTGTTAACCTCACATAACATCGGCGAACAATATTCGTAGCGCTAAGGGGACCGTAACCCCTATACATTAACATGGACTTACTTCCGACGTAGCGCTAAGGGGTTCGTAACTCCCATACTTTAACGTCGGCTGACGATATTCGTAGCGCTAAGGGGACCGTAACGAACCCCTTCCATACTTTAACATTAAATTAGAACGTTACTCCCATACTTTTAATATCGGCTAACAATAGACGTAGCTCTAAGGGGAC